ATCTTCTAAAGACACCCGTGCTCACGTTTGCTAAGTTGACCTTCTCCACGGAGGACAGGGCTAGAAGGAATTCCCAACTTTCCGTTCCCATGGAGGTCGGGGGCGGGGGCACTGGCAGCGTCCATCAAATCCAATAGGGCAAGGATGGCTTGACCGCCACCCAAACTGCCTGAGAGGACAGAGCCATACACAGGGCAGAGCCTTGAGGTCCGGCCCCCTCAGGGGCCCCCAGATGAGGACCCCCAGCTCCCTTTGACAAGCTCTGGGTACCAGCCTCTGGCACCTGGGGGGACATAGTGGAGTGAGATGTAAGCAGCACCTGCTGGTGTTGGTTCCCCCATCAGCTCCGGCCCACTCCTCTCTTCCCCTTCTCAGAAGAACTCTCTTCCCTGGGCCCAATCCACGGGGACTCTCAGCCCCTTCTCCCGCCCTCATGAAGTTCTCGTCCCATCACCAGCAGCCTCCGTGGCTAAATTTAAAGCTGGGACTCAGTCCTACGTGACCCAGCAACAGCATTTTGGCGGCCGTCACCCCAACCTTCTTGAAATTTTGCTGACTGCTGAGGCCCACTTTCTATCCTCCTCTGCGCTGGGTTGACTAACATCCCCCCAGGTTTATATCCCTTGGGAACCTCAGAACAAAGCCTTGTTTGGACACAGGTCTTGGTAGAGGTCATTAGGGAAAACGAGCTGAGGTCACATTGGAGTGGGGTGGTGTTGTTACCAGAAAAAGACAGACACAGACAAGGGAAGGTCCTATATGATGGAAACAGAGACAGAGGGATATAACCGTGTGCCAAGGGACGCCAAAGATCGCCGGGGCCACCAGAAGCTGAAAGGGGCAGGAAGGAGTCTTCCCTCGAGGCGCTAGTGAGAGCTCTCCCCCCTCCCCCGCCCTGCCAGAAGCTAGCCCATTCTGCACCTTCTCCTTCCTTCTCTTCTCCCAACACCTCCTCCTCCCGTCCCTGACCTCCTGGTGCCGGACTGAGCACCACTGGCTCAGCGTACCGTTCTCACCCGGGCTGGCGGCCTCAACTGCCCCCTCGGGGCTGACACCCACGACCTTTCTCCCTCCAGTCTGGACCCCTCTCTGACCTCCAGACACGCAGGTCTGACTGGCCACCCGATGTCTTCATCGGAGGTCTCAGAACCGCCTCCAACGTAACCTGTCCCCACGTGACTTCCTCCCCCTGCCCCTGTCTCATCCACCCCAGGAAACAGCACTGCCACCTTTCCAGAGCTCAAGCCCAAAGCTCAGAGTCGCCCAGCCTCTTCTCTGCGGTCCTGCTTCCAATCCGTCGGCCAGAAGAGGCCACGAAATTCGTGGAGCCTGGCGCAAAATGAACACGCTGGCACCTTGTTCGGGGAAGAATTTCAGGATGGCGAGGTGCCCGGCAGGGCTCAGTCGGTTAAGCACCCGACTTCGGCTCAAGTCACGATCCCACAGTTCACGGGTTCGAGACCCGCGGCGGGCTCTGGGCTGACGGCTCGGAGCCTGGAGCCTGCTTCGGATGCTGTGTCTCCCTCTCTCTCTCTCTGCCCCTTCCCTGCTTGAGCTCTGTGTGTGTGTGTGTGTCTCTCTCTCTCTCAAAGATAAACGTTAAAAAAAAAAAAAATTCAGGATTGCAACAGCAGGCCATTCAGCCACATGCAGGGCCCTTCTGGGTGACTGCTGGTCACGTGCCCGTGGAGGTGGCTCTGCCACGAGCAGATGTGATTTCAGCCCCGCAGTGGCTTCCCAGCAAACCCCAAGCCCTCGGCACCACGCAGCATCTCTGCAGGACAGCCCCTCCCCACCCCCACCTCTTGGCCTCACGCAGGAAGCCATGAACGGCCGCCCCCTCACACTCACCTCTGTGCGGGGCGGGGCTCACGAGCAAGGCCTTGGGGCCCAGTATAGTACTGCACTACGATGACCAGGGCCAGGTAGCAGGCGGCCAGGGTGCCTAGGACGCTAATGCACACGGAACATGGCGTTAGGGGTCTCCACGGTACAGCCACCCCATCACGGGAACACCGGCCCCGCCACACGCAGCCCGGGGTGACACAGAGCACCACCTGAGGGCCAGGGTGGCCCACGCCGGCTAGGTGTCAGGCAAGGTCCCCACTGCTCCGAGCCTCGATTTCCGTGTCTGTGCCGTGGGGACAGCGGGAAGGCTGTCTGAGGCCCAGGGGTCAGAGGCGTCGAGCTCCCGACCAGGCCGACACCCGTCAGGTCCAAGAGCTTCAGGAGCCCCCATCTCTCCAACAAGACAGCATTCCGATGTGGCACCCACGCCGGGACGCCCTCGGCTCGGCCACACCAAAGCGGGGTGCGCCCCTGACCTTGCTGACACGACAGGAGAGCCAGGCAAGGGCTGGAGCCCAGAGGGGACCTGGGTCCCCGCGTGCTCTGTCTCCATTCTAGTTCTAAGGTGAAAAGTCTGTTGGCGTTCACGACACAACAGGGGAAGGCAGGTTGCAAACTCAGGTGAGTCCTTTCACCAGGCTTTTTTTTGTTTTGTTTTCTGAAAGTATATATAAAGGGGCAGTTTTAAGTCGGCTAAGCTTCTGACTCCAGCTCAGGTCACGATCTCGTGCAGTTCGTGAGTTCGAGCCCCGTGTCCGGCTCTGTGCCGACAGCTCGGAGCCTGGAGCCCGCTTCGGATTCTGTGTCTCCCTCTCTCTCTGCCCCTCCCCTGCTTGTGCTCTCTCTCAAAAAACAAATAAACGTTAAAAAAAAAATAAACCCAAAACACCTCAGACCGCAAGGTGGAACCCAAGTGTATATCTGGGGTCTCCCCGTGCCCGTGCACATAAACCATCTGTAAAAATGAAATCACAGAATAGCAGCCACGTCAATACACGTTCTTGTTTATCTCTGTTTTCTATCCCGCGTACGTCCTACTTGGGTAACTGTCCCGCTTTTTTCTCTTCTCCAAAAGGGGGGGAGGACCAGAGCTGGCCACCCCCCTAATCCCTGGCAGAATGAACCCCCTCGCCCCCACCCCCCACCTGCAGACACCGGCACAGGTGGGGACCCTGGCAGGGAAGCGTCCGCAGCCCCCCCCCCCCCCCCGTACCTGGTGTACTTCTGGAACCCGATCTCGCGCGGGACGGACAGGGGCAGGATGACCAGCGCGGAGAGCAGGGGCAGGGTGAGGCGCTGGTCCACGCACCACGGCTGCGGGGCCGGGGGGGCGCTGGGCAGCAGGAAGCCACACACTGAGGGCAGGGAGGGGAAGAGGGCGGGGACCGCTCAGAGCTGCGGCCCCGGCACCCCCCAGGCTCAGAGCCCCAGCCACAGGGGTCCCTGCTCCCGGGTGGGCCGGGGTCGGCCGGGGCAAGGAGCCCCACCTGTCACGTGCCACCACGGGGGCAGCAACCTTGCCGCAGATTCATTCAACAGCCATTCGGTGACCTTCTGCTAGAGGGGCCGCAACAAGGAAGAAGCCAAGTGGCCTGCCCTTGAGGCACCTGGGCCCTAATCCGCTCATAAAAGATGCTTTTCTGTTTGCTCATGAGCCTGGGGGGGGGGGGGGGGGCTGGTAATGAGAGCCGGTAAACTCCCCCCCGCCCCCCAACAGTGGCCCAGAGCGACGGCTTTGTCACACGCCAGGGACTGGAGAACTAGGGCAGGGCTGAGCCGGCCAGTTCTGCTCCGCGTGGGACCAGCTGGGGTCACGTGGGGGTGCGTGGATGGCCCACGGGTAGGCTGGTCTGGAGGGTCCGCGATGGCTCGACACTGGGTGTCTGGTGGGGACGCCTGAGCCCTCCCTGCAGTCCTGGGGTCTCTCCCACAAGGACCCTCCAGGAGGCTAGGCCGAGGCAGTTGGGGGCTCCCGAAGATCCCGGAGGAAACTGCCTGTCAGCTTAAAGGCTGGGCCTGGAACGGGCACCATGTCACATCTGCCATAGTCTGCTGGGCCAACGTGTCTCAGAGCCCATGCTGATGGGGGCAAGGGACACACACTCCTCCCAGCCTCCCACCAACCTCTCAGTAGGGGGAACGGAAGAACCCAGACCGGGGTTCCCCCCCCCCCACCACAATGAAATGGAGAATTTGAAGTTGACAGAAGAGGCAAGGCCAGTGGGGGAGAGGAGAGAATTGGGTGAGGAGCAAGATGGCCTGGGGCTCGAAAGGGGGGCGGGGGGAGGATGTCCCTCCTCCCAGGTCCCCACAGCCCTGCTGCGGAGGGCTGGGAGCAGAGAGATGCTTCCCGGCCCACTTGGGGGCGCTTGCTGTGCTGGGCTGTGACCCTTCTTTGTTCACCAAATGCAAGCCAGCCACGCACAACCCAAGACCTTAACCGAGTAGCTTGTTTCTACCGAACCTCTGGAAGGCTGGGGGGGGGGGGGGGGTCCCAGGGTCCCACCCCGAGGTCACTCTAGACAGGCACCAGGCACGAGAGCAAAGCAAGCATTCCGGGCCAGAGACGCCAGGGGAATGCACGCACCCAGAGGTGCACGGAGACCTCGGGGAGTGCCAGACCCACATGGCCTCTGGGAAGGGACACAAGCCCCACTTTTGCATCTAGATCTCCTCAGCCAGGATCCCAGCTTGGACATCTGGGCTCCAGCAGCCCCTCCTGAGCCCTCAACTTTCTAGAACATTCCTTAATGTCTTTCAGCACCTGTCACTTCTCTCATCGGTACCCACTGCACACAAGGACACCAAGCACCCCAACCGCCACGGGCACCCCCAGTCTTTATTTGGCCCTCCTGCCAAGAAGCCTGCAGAGACAACACATCCCCAACCCTCTAACCACTAACACACAAGCACACCCCAGGCCATCTGCCCAGAGCCCGTGGAGGAGGTCTGCGTCCTCAAGGTTGCTCGGATCACTCCAGCTGCCCTCTGGTGCAACCACCTCTGCCCAGAGGTGGAACCGGACATGACCTCCACTTCACACCGAAAGGCAGGGCGCTTCTGTGCCCCTTTTATCCACCGGGAGGTTCAGATTCGCCAACCTCCATGCTTTTCGGGATACAAGCACCCCCCCAAGACACGGGCACCTGGAACCTCGGGACCCCCAGCACTGGGGGCCTTTGGTTCAAGTGACAGAAGAAATAGCAAAACAGACGACCAAAATCCAAGCGTATCGCTAACCACTTTCCAATTAAAAATTGCAACACTCCAGTTAAACACGGAGACTGTCGAAATGATTAAAAAAAAAAAACAACAACAAACAAAGAAAAAAGCGAGACCCAACTACATAATGTCCACAGGAAACATATCTGAAACTCCCAAGTTACCTTTAGGTTCACAGTCAAACACCCGGGGCGGGGGTGGGGGAGTGGTGGGAGGAGGGGGAGAAGCCAGGCAAACACTCAAGGAAGCTGGAAGGACTAGACGCGTGGCAGAGAGGTTGGACTTGAAGGCAAAGTATTACCAGAGACGGGAGGCGACCTTTCACGATCCTCAGGGGACAATTCACGGGTGGGAGCCTGCCAACAGAGCTTCGAGCACCAGGAGGCCAAAATGGACAGAATTCAAGGGTCAAACACATCAACCTGCAAACACAGCTGATTTGCACGCTCGCCTTTCACCACCTGAGGGAGTAACTCCATTTGGAAAAACAATCAGGGAGGCTCGGGAGGATCTCATCCAAGCCGTGGAGCACCTAGAGCCGATGCAGCGTTCTAGAACACTCCGCCCAACTGCACCAGGCACGTCCCTGAAGGGCCCCCGGAGCGCCCACCAAGACTGATCACATGGGGGCCCAGAGCAAGGCTCCGAGGCCAAAGACTGAAACCACACGGAGCGTGTTCTCCGACCGTGGCACAACTAAGGCAGAAACCAGAAAGCGATCTAGGAAACTCCGAAGTAGAAACTGAACCACACAAGCGTCGACACCCGTGAGTCGAGGAAGAAATCCCAGTAAGAATTCGCAAATACGCTCAATCGAACAAAAAGGAAACCTATCAAAGCGGGCACGATGTGGCTAGCAGTGTTTGCAGGGAAAAGGTCCACGGGGGACGAGAAGCCAAGGGGGCCTGGGCTCAGGCCTGGACATCCATCCCCAGATTCAAGGTGTTACTGGCTCGCTCTCCAAAGGGACTTCTCTGCAGTTGGCTTGGCTTCCCCATCTGTAAACTGGATTGTCCCCGCTAGACATCCGGCACAGCCCCTCCCCCTCCATGACTCCCAGAGTGCTCATTACCACTCCTTCTGCCACGATGTAAGGAGCTCAGGGGTGGCCTTGGCCTCTGCTGTCCCCCCAAGGCCCCCCCCGTACCCACATCCCGCTCATCAACCAGAAGCCCCCCGGGGGCGCCCCCCACTCCTGTGCCAGTACTTACGCTTCTCCAGCTGGTCCCCAATCACCCTGAGGAAGGCCACGGAGATCATAAGCAGGTTCACGATGAAGCAGGCCTCACACAGCTTCCCCAAGGCCGGGCCACACAGCCCTCCAACCACACCCTGGTAGGTCGTCTGGCCGCTGACAGAGGCAGCATAGCCCAGGATGACCAGCCCGCTGATGAGAAAGACCAAGGAGACCTGCGGAGCAGGACCATGGGGCCAGGGTGACCCCCAGCCCACCACCCGAGCCAGCTGCCCCGCAGGTTTTTTTTTTTTTTTTTAGTAGGCTCGGGGCCCAACATGGGGCTTGAACTCAGAACCCTGAGATCAAGAGTCACACATGCTTTACCGACCGACCCTGCCAGGCGCCCCAGACCCTTGGGACTTTGATATCACTCTCCACCAGGTCTGTCACCCACACAGGCCACCTGGAGACCAGGGACCTCTACCCAATGTGCTACCAGGCCCACCCCTGCCCGGAGATCAGAGCCACAGGGCAGGCGATTGTCGAGGCCTCTCGGGCTGTATGTCTCTGCACCTGGGATTCCTACTATCCTGCCCCAGTTGGATATATGAGATCTCAGAAACCCAGAGAGTCTCAATTACTCTCCTAAAATCCCGTGGGTTGTGGGTTAAAAGAACACACGTATCGTTGGAAGAAATCCGACCGATCCACCCGTACAACCCTAACCCGTCAGGACTGAGAACCCACCACCGTGCCCCGGAGCTCTCTCGTGTCCTGTCCCCCAAAGAAACCCCTGCCCTATCGTCCCACGGTTACCTATTTTCATAGGCCGGACACTACGCAAGCTAGGACCGGGCAGTTTCCCGAAGGACAGAAAAAGCCCCGTGGCCACGATCAGCTGGCCGCCATAAAAAGGCAGTTAAGATCACGTCTGTGGACCAGCTCCCCACACAACTCAGCTGTTGCTATCAGCTGCGGAAACAGAATCTTCGCAAATATAATGAAGCTGTGCTAATTAGCGGCCCTTCTCCGCTGGGGCTGTCCAGCCCTGGCCTTTCTAGAAGGGAGTTCAGGCTCCACATGCAGCTGGCAGGCCTGGCTGCACGGCTGTGACGGGGCGGCGGGCCAGGCCGGGTGTGGGGTGGGGGGGGTGGGGGTCACAGCATCTTACACCCGATCCGACCGCACGCAGGGCTCAACTTTCAGCATCGAGCTGTAACCAGCCGGTGAGAGGAGACAACTGGCCAGGTGACCGCCTGCAGATGATCACTTGAGGCAGGCGCCTCCCCACCCCCCACCCTCAACAGCCTAGGGGTGCTCGCCACTCGGGGCTGCGGTGGGAGGACCCCGTCCCGCGGCAGCTGAGCAGACAGCGGACGCCAACGGGAGTCTCCAAAGGGGTCGTTTCTACAACAGGCAGCTCCCCAGGAGGGATGCTGAGGATTCCCGTCTGGATCCCACCCCAGGAGACCCACCCCCGCCCCGAAAAATGCTCCGCAGGTGCTTACCAGCTCCACCAGGAAGGCGGGGGTCACCCCACCCGCCTTGTGGAAGGCCCAGGGGAAGTTGAGCAGGCCGGCCCCCAGCGCGGATTTCAGGAGGATGAAGACAGCGCCCAGCGAGGACAGAGAGGGGCTGGCGGCCGCGGGGACCGGCTTCTCCGAGAGGCCTGGGCTCCCGGCCGTCGGTTCCTCCATGGCTAGAAGCAGCAGGGAGGCAGGGGGGGTGGGGGGGTGAAGAGGCGCAGTCCTCACACTGCCTTCCTGGCTGTGACTGGTCTCGCTCCCCAAATCAGAGTCACCCATCTGTCCCAACGGCCCCACGCCACGGGCTGCCTCGTGCTGCCCTTTTAAGTGACCCGCTCCCAGGCCCCGGTTTATCCTCACCGGGGGACCTCCTACCCTCCTCTCCCGAGCCTCCACCCCAGCCCCTCACCCTTACCCCCAAATCCAGACTTCAAGATCAGATAGTTGTCAGCCATCAGGGACAGGGCTCAGGCTTGCTCCAGCTGGTTCAGCGGCATTTCTTTGGGCCCCACTGGTGGAAGAAGGAAGGTTCTAGCTGTGCCCGAGGTGGGGAGATGATTCGGGAATTAAGGGAGCTCTAGAGAGCACGTGTTGGGGTCATGTCTCAACACCAAGGGGAACAAGGACAAGAGGTCAGAGCCATCAGTCCCAAGAGCTTGCAGCGTTCTGCGACTGCCAGCCTGAGGAGGGGGTCTTAAGACGCCCTCCCCTCCCCCACCCGGGTGAAGGCCCCTCCCAGGAGGCGGGGCTTTCCTGGCTGAGGGTCTGATGGAGGGCAGCTGGGAGAGCAGGAGGGGCAGGCCTGCACCTGATCTCAGTCAATGACCTGGGCCCAGGATCCCTCTCTGAGGCCCCCCCAGTCTGAGGAAGGGGGGCTTGGTTAAGAGCTCAGAGCTCAGCTAGACCATGTGATCTCTCCAAGCCTAGTTTCCATCCACAAAGGGGTCCGCGTGCCCACCTTGCAGCTCGCCGTGGGCTGTGGGGCCCGCTGTGGACTCCAGTGCGTGCAAAGGCCCAGGCAGTCAGCAGGTGCTTGGCCCCTGAAACGAATGTGCACGTGAATCGCCTGGGGTCTTGTCAGAAGGCAGATTCGAATTCACTGTCCCCTCGGTGGAGCCCAGACTCCACATCACTCCCGAGGTCCGGGGAGGCGGGCGTTGCTGGTCTGGGACCGGACGTTGAGTAGACACCGCTTCTCCGACCTGCTGTGCTGTCCGCTGAGATGGCAGAATACAGGAAATTGTCCCCTTCGGGAAAACACAGGTCCACGAAGGTCACATCCGGAATTCTAACGTGAACCGGCTTTACTCCTAGCACCCGGGCTCGAGTCCCCTTGAGGGCGTGTGACAACTCAGGTTGAGGCTGTGTGACAGACAACCCAGCGGTTTCTGACTCCGTGGGTCTGAGAATCTGCATTCCTACCCAGCTCCCCGGTGACGCGGATACAGCGGGTGCAGGGACCCCCTCTTAAGGACTGCGGCTTTCAGTTAACCATCTCCGGAGCCAGAGCCTCACCCGATCAGTCCTTATCTGGCGGACACCAGATCAGCGCCCAGGGCTTTTTCTCCATGTGGTTTCCAACGGTCTCCATCCCCTGACCGTGTCACCAGCAGACTGTTGGTCTTTGCAGGCTCCGCGTAGAGGCGTTGAGTGAGCGTTTGACCTGCTGAGTGGCAGGCGTGGATGCGAAAAGGGAGCCGGGGTTGTGGCCCAGGAGCGCACAGCTGGACCGGCGCTCACCGAGTGAGCGATGCTGGGAACCGGGCCCTGTAGCCGGCACTGGGCGTCTCACTGGGTCCCCCACAGCGAATCCCGAGGGGGTGACACCATAGTGCTCGACACAGAGCGGGCAGTGAGCTCAGGCAGGTGGAACGGGCCCGCTGGCAACTGACCGGCCCGGGGTTCAACCCTGGCTGTGTCATCCCAAAACCTGCTTCACCCCGCACCCTGCCTGGCTGCCGGCGCCCAGGACGGGAAGCACCGAACCAGAGAGTGAGAGTAGGATTCCGGAAGAGAGAAAAAGGCGTGACTTCCCCCACACAAGGAGCCTCCTGAAGCTGCCATAACAAACTCACCAGCTGGGGGTCTCAAAACAATGGGAACTTATTCTCTCCCAGCAGGCCCGCCCTCCCTCCAAAGGCCCCAGGGCGTGATCCCTCCTGCCTCGTCCAGCTCCTAAGGGCTCCAGGCGGTGCTGGGCTGGTGGCCCCGTCACTCCGTCCCTCTGGGTGCCATCTTCCCACACCCGCCCCGTGTCTGGGTCCTCTCCTATTCGTGGGAGGACACCTGTCCTGGGATTTGAGCCCACTCACACATTCCAGAATGATCTCATCTCGAGATCCTTTCCTCACTGCACCTGCAAAGCAGAAGACCCATTTTCCAGATAAGGTCACATCCACAGGCTCTAGGGCACACTACTCAGCACGACAGGGGCCACCCTTCGGCACACTGCGCCCCATGGGGCTGGGGCCTGAGTGCGTTCTCATTCGACGCACGCAGACTCACAGCGAGTCAGAGGCGAAAGACAAGGGCTCCGTTCTGGAGGAAAGGCCGACGTATGAAGAGACCAGGACTAGACAAATAGGTTCCAAAGAGTAGGAGAGGTGACCACGAGGGGCGCCTGGGTGGCTCAGTCGGTTAAGCGTCCGACTTCAGCTCAGGTCACAATCTCGCGGTCCGTGAGTTCAAGCCCCGCGTCAGGCTCTGGGCTGATGGCTCAAAGCCTGGAGCCTGCTTCCGATTCTGTGTCTCCTTCTCTCTGCCCCTCCCCCATTCATGCTCTGTCTCTCTCTGTCCCAAAGATAAATAAACGTTAAAAAAAAAAAAATTAAAAACAAAAAAAAGGAGGGGTGACCACGAGACCTCAGCTGCAGGAGGGCTCCCTGGAGGAAGGTGAAGGGCAGGGGAAGGGAGGCATCGGAGGAGCAGGGAGTCCCTGTGTGAAGGCTCAGCCAGGGGCCCCGGGAAGGCCTCTGGGTTCTAGGGGGACCTGGGAGAGGCCATTCTTGCTGGACCAGGCGTTTCAGCCCCACCTCTTCCCTGTGGAGGTTTTCCAGGAGCGCAGGGAGGTCATCGGCCCAGCCCGATGGGGAGGATGCCGGGCACTGGGGGGGGGGGGGGGGCGCGGCAGGTGGAGGGCGCAGACCAAGCCGGGTTGGGGCTCAAAATCCGCATAGCTCGCACCCTCCGCCCACATCCACCCCGAGGCTCAGGGAGAGATGATTTAGCTCCCTCCCTCACCAGCGGCTGGCTTTGTACTCCCTAATCTGGGCTCTGGGAGCCTGGGGCACCTCCAGGTCCCTGCCTGGATACCTCATTAGCTGCCCATTAACGTGCATGACTTAGAAATTGGCCACCGGGCTGTGAAATTCCACTCAAGGAGGAAAACCTCTTAGTTCTGAAGGCTTTGATACTCGCTCTCTGCCGGCCTCCCAGGGCTGCCGTGACCTTTCTGGGCTGTGGAGAGGCGCCCTGGGGGCCCCATCTGTGTGGGCGGGCGGCTCTGGAGCACAAGGGAGCCAGTGAGGTGGCAAGCTGGCGCCTCCGTGGGCCAGGCAGGTGGCGGCTCGGCCCAGCGCCCACGCACGGGAGCGCCTGTCATCAAGGGTTGTTCTCCAGAGTCCAGCTCCTTCTTTTCTCCACAGAGTATGGGCCACATGACAGGTTCAGAACTTCAGGGAGAGAGTGACCTCGCTTGTTTCCCCAGACCCGTCAGAATGTTCTGGAAGACAGATGAGGGCAGGTCCCAGGAGCCAGAGTCCCTGGCTCCCTTTGTGCACTGGTTCTGTGGTCTGGGCCTCGCTGGGACCACTGGTGACATGGGATCACAGCAGATCCCACCCTACAGGGCTGTTCGGGGGATTCCTGAGAATTCTCTGTGCTCTCGGCACAGGAGTGAGAGATGTGTGTAGAACGGGGCGTGTCAAACTCCACCATCGGTACCGATGTGTCTTTACCTCGGCCTGATTCTGGGCTTCTGGAACAGCGTTCTGAACCCCGGCTACACGAGAATACTGGAGGAACTCTTCACATGGCTCAGGGCTTCGGATGACATTGGTCTGGGCTGTGGCGGGCATCCGGCCTTCCAGAAAGCTCCCCAAGAGCTGCTGAGGCGCGTGGAGGAGCTCGGCTCTGGGCAGGCAGGGTCCCTGTGTCACCTGCGCTCCTGAGCCCGTGGCCCCTCCTTTCCCCCACCTACTGTGTGTCTGTCCCTGGCCAAGGGCAGCACCCTGGGCGGGGTGAACCCGCTACTGGAAAAGGCCAGGAAATGGACTCTCCCCGGGAGCCTCCGGAGCGAATCAGCGCTGCCCACGCCTGACTTTAGCCCGTGAGACTGATTCTGGCTTTCCCGCCTTCAGAACCGCAGGAGAAAATGCTTTGTTTTCAGCCACAACTTTGCAGAAACTTGTTACCGTGGCAGCAGGAAACGGGTCCACCCGGCACCCCGGGCCCTGATGGCGGCGCCCCTCAGGCTGGAGGTCCGTGGACCCCCGCCCCACGCTCTTCCGCAGAGTGGAGGCTGGGCCTCCAGGTGACACAGGGCCCAGGGCACGGCACTGGCAGGTCCTGCTGTCCTGTCCCCTCCCTCTAATGAGGGGCCGGTCCCAGAATCTGGCTCTGGGGGAAGGGAGGGAACGGCACCCTGCCTCTCAGCCAGAGGAGGAAGTGCCCGGGGGGGGGGGGTCAGCAGCCAGACAGCAGGCTGATGGCAAGGGCAAGGCGGTGAGGAGGGCGACCAGACCCTGGAGGGGCTCTGTCATCGGGTTCTGACCCCTGGGCCCGTGCTGACGCTGGGGTCTAGACGGCCGGACGGCCTCTCCCAGCCTCCAAGCCAGGGGCTCCCACCTCACCTGGTACCAGAACCCCTTGGGGAGACGTGGGGGTTTTGGTGGTTATGTCACACACACACAAGCCACCACCTTAACACCCTCAAGCGTGCGGCCAGGTGGTACTCCGTATACTCACGATGTTGTGCAACCGTCACCACCACCCCGTTCTAGGACTTTTGTCCCCCAAAGAAAACCCCTTTACCCGTCAGCGGTCCCTGTCCCCACCCCGCCCGCTTTCTGTCCCTGCGTTTGCCTGCTCTGGAATCACACAATTTGTGGCCTTTGGTGTCAGGCTTCTTCTGCTCAGCAGGGCGGTCTCGAGGCTTGCGATCAGTACGCTGCATTCCTTGGCGTCCGGACGGGTCACCTTCTGCTCCTCGGCAAATGTGCGAATGCACCTCTGGTTCATCTGCGGCTTTTGGCGGTTGGGAGTCGCGTGGCCGCGGGCTGCCACGTACACACTTGGCTCAAACACCTGCTTGCGATTCGGTCGGGTCTACGCCCAGCCGCGGGAGAGCCGGGTCGTATGCCAGCGGTTCACCTTGGGGAGCTTTTAAAATTGATTGCTGAGCTCTTCCCACGCAGCCTATTGTTCAGTAGGTCTGGGGCGAGGCCCAGGAATCTGTATTTCTAAGATACGCACCCGCACTGCCCTCGGGCCGCCAACAGATGAAACCAACATCCTGTGTGTTAATATCCGCTTATGTGGGTAGTACCAACCGTTAAGAAAAAAAGCAAGAATTTTGCTATTTCTCTGGATGCTTCTATTTAATCTATTTATGAGAATCCCGGACTCCATTTTGTGTCCAGCAGATCTAAATCTAAGTAGCACCCCCATCGTTACCAGGAAGTGGGCATCTTTCCCGCCATAGGGAAAGGGGAAGGAGCCCTGTGTTGAGGAGCCTCAGGCCCAGGTCAGAGCTAGGCTTTGAACACTGGTCTCACCGTGGTTTCCTCACCTGAGAAATGGCAGTGACAGCATCACACGGTGCTGGGACCCCCAGGTGGCACAAGGCACATGAGACACAGGCCGGTGTGGCGTGCCCGGTGGCTCAGTCGGTTGAGCGTCCGACTTCCGCTCAGGTCATGATGTCACGGTTTGTGAGTTCGAGCCCCGCGTCGGGCTCTCTGCTGTCAGCTCAGAGCCTACAGCCTGCTTTGGGTTGTGTCTCCTCTCTCTCTGCCTTTCTTCCACTAGTGCGCGCTTTCTCGACAATAAATAAACTTAAAAAAAAAAAAAAAAAAAGACACAGGCCGATGCCAGGCGGGCGGTGAGCACCCAGCAGACACAGGGAGTGCACACGTGGCCGGGGCAGGTGCCCTCGGGGCCATCGTGCGTGGAGCCTCCTCCTGGGGGAGCACTGGACGGTTACAGGCAGGTGCAAGACGTCAGACCCTCGCGTCCCTCACAAAGGTGGGGCTGAGGGTGGAGCGGGGGCACCCAGCTGTCCCCATCTCCACTCCTGTCACACGACACCTTCAGGGTTCCTGCAGACAGGGCACCTGCCTGGCTCCCGAGAGCTCGCACAGTTAGGGATGAACCTGCCTCTCAGGGCCCCCAGGGCCCCCTGGAATCCCAGGTGTATCTGTGGTCGTGGTGAGCTGACTGCTCGTTTTTGTTGTTTTAAAGGTGTAGGTGTTCTCTGGGACAAGGAGAGCTCACGCTAGGGCAACGAAGGGTCCCCTACAAGCAGGGAGGCAGCCCAGCCCGGGCCCACAGCCATCACGCACGTCTGTCGCCACAGGATGGTCTGTCGCCGACCACGCCTGACACGCCTGAGTGCCACTCAGTGAGGAGAGGGCCCACAGCGGGGAGTGGCCAGGCCGAGCTGGACTCCACGCGGCCTGGGGCTACGGCCGGGGCTGCAGCTCAACACCTGCACCAGGTGGGGACATCCTCTCCAGGACGTGCCTCTCCAGGCTGGGTGGACCCAGCCATCCCCAGGGCAAGTGCCTGATGAGGCCCCTTCTAGGGGAGGGCGTGTTTTCCGGGCCCCCATCAACTGGTTTTCTCCAGAGGTTCAGTCCCTTTCTGGATAAGCGCTCCCCCATGAAGAACTCTCTCTCAGCTCAGCGCCCCCTCTGCTTCGTCCCCTGCCGTCCACCCCCCCCCCCCCCCCGCCGCCCCCGGTTCCATCCAATGCCTCCGCGTCTGGTCATCCTCCCTGTGTGTCGCTATCCCTGACGGGAGGCGCTCAGGCTTAGTTCTGATCCTGATGCATCAATGGTGTGCTTCTGGGCAAGGCACGGAGCCCCTCTCCGGCTGCCACTGCCTCTGTGAGGTGGGACCCGCGCCACCGAGCCCCCAGCTGTGCCTGGAGAGGAAAAATGAATGCACAGCAAGCCTGGCACACGGCTCCCGATGCCACCCCTCTGGCTAGCAGACCGGCAAGGACCCACCTTCCTTCCTTCTCCGTTACACCTCTATCGCAGCACTTTGGGCAGGCAGATCACAGAACAGCGGCCAGTTCCTGGGCATCCCCATCCACGCCCAGAACTTCAGGATGCTACGAAGCCACCCTCTATCTGAAGACCCGCCACGGTCTTCACGTGGTCACTACTGAACTTCACTTTGCCACGTCAGACCCCAGGCGGGTTCCCTGCGTGGAGCTGGTCCCCGAGAAGCCTGGTGTGCTAACGACTCTTCTGTTTGTGACTTGGTCTCAGTGTGCGGTCTGTGTTCACGCCTGTCCGATCTCTGTCCTCCTCCTGTCCTGTCCCACCTACACGACCCCGCGCTCAAACCTAAACTGCACCCGTGTGCGCCCTGATACGGCTGTGAGAGCGCTCGATGCTGGGCTGGCAAGGTCCACCCCGTCTAAACGGGAGAGCCAGCCCCGAAGGCCAGGGACACATGCGAATGCCGACCTCGAAA